GAGAAAGCCACAGAATACTTATGTCAAACTGTGGGATGTCCTTAGGAAAATGAAACTCAGAATATCTAATACAAAAAAATCTATATACAGATTAGGTAACCACAATCCAGACAGAAGATGATGAAATAAAATAAGTCTGAATTGGCAAAGTAATGAGACATGGTTTATTTATTCCGTTTACGCATTGAAAATATATTGAGAGGAAACTGGATTGAAAGAAGATAAGTATAGTTTTAAAATTGGAGGAAAAAACACCAATGACTTTTACAGTTGATGATATTAGTATGCTGGTTGAAAATGATCTGGAAGCTATAATAATGAAAGTCAAGGAGCACATTAAAAAAATTGGAATATAATTAAATATGAAGAAAACTGAACTGATTACAACAGTTATAGCAACCAATTGTAGAACTGTCAAATGATACTGAAATACTGGATAATTTCTGTTTTTAGGATTAACTATCAATAACAAACTAGCAAAGGAAACAGCAATCCAGAAGTATGCCATAAATTAGCATTTGATAGGATAATGATGAAGGCTTTTGAAAATATATTCAAATGTTGTGACATGTCTCCACTAAAAAAGTTCAAAATCATGTAGGCAATATTGTATGGAATTTGGACTTTGAAGAAGCAGGGTAGAAAAAGTGCTGTGGTGTGGGAGAAGATTCCTGTTGGATAACCTAGAAATCAGACAAATGAATCACAGAATAAATCAATTTAGAGTTTCACCTAAGATAAACATAACTATGATCAAATTATCATATTTTGAACATATCTTGCAAAGATGCAGATCCCCTGAGAAGTCCTAATGCTGAAAAAAAAATGGAACAAAAAAAGAGGATAACTAGAAGCAAAGTTAATGGATTCAAGTATACCATAGTGTGGTGATGGGTGCACCATTGGAAGATTTGGCAGGCCAGATTAGGCTCATCCTGAAAAGGCCTATCTGTGATTAAGAGTTGACAAATGACTTGATGGCAATAAAAAAAGAACCATGTAACTTGGTTTTGGCACCAGTCTTGCAATTTGGCATTCCCTTGAACTTTTACCACAGATAATAATTGTAGTCTACTTTTGAATATCCTTCCTCATCATATTTCCTAATACTGATTTTTATTTAGTTAACTTTCTGAAGTAGTTATAATACTTAAATTAGAGTGGGTATAACCCTATGAGAACTTGTAATGTATTTCAATTAATTTCTGCACAAATTCCTATAATGTCTGTCTCTTCCTCCTAATGTATTGTTGAGCTGTTACCCACTGCCAACATTCTGAAAGGTACACAGTTGAGACAGTGTCTCAGCAAGTCCAGTGTTGGCCTTTGTATTGAATAGGCCTTTGGTCATTGGGTACTGCAAGAACAGAGGCTTTCAGAAAATCAGTAGCAGTTCCAATATTGATAAATGAGATTAATAGATGATTTTGTAGCTATTGTTAAGGCATTAAATCAGTTGTATTAACATGCTTTATCCTCCCATATGCATCAGACTGTATCTAAATGGTCAATACTGGTGTAGTGAAATAACTATACTCATGTTATGACAAGAATATTCATGAAAATTTCAATTTGAGGAATGTTTATAGCCCCACTTCTTTGCTCTCTAAAGACTTGACACATCACATCATAGCAAACCTGTATACAATGCTTTATTGCAACACATACCTTCCCCAACAACAGGCTCTGGGTCAAGAACAGGTTCTGGGTCAGCTCCACCCTTCTAGGACTTGCAAGGTGATGTAGGTAAAAGGTAAAGGTTTCTGTCTAATCACCATATAGGTGATAATGAAAATGCTGATTTAAGTGGAATGTAGATTATAATATTATAGTTATTAAGAAATGTATCATTTACATTAATCAGCTTTGTGTGAAACAGTTATTAAACATAAGGATTCTGTGTGTCAAAGGCATATTTACTAAAGGACCATGAATTACAAGAATTAATTTGCAAACCCGGTTTGTCGGCTTCGCGAGCGGCAGGGATTCGCGATACTGCGCGATCCCTGCTGCGCTAGCCGTTTTTGGTGCTCCGATCCGGACGGGTTCGGAGCTAAGGCTGCCCTGCAGGGGCGGCTGAAGATAGGGGGGATCCGGAGAGGGGTTTGGGGGTGTTGCAGACCCCCTCCCCGGCCAGCAGAACCCCCTTTTCCCAAGACGGTGCAGCGGCGGTCCGTAATGGCCACCACAAAGAAGCCGGCAGCTGGGTAAGAATGCACAGGAGGAAGAGGAGAAAGCCTTTGAGAGTGAAAGTTTTCTTGGTTGACCCAGGACTCTAAGACATATTTAACACAATTCCTGGAAATTATGGCTTTTTGAATGATTCTTTCCAGAAGAGAAAATAAGCGGCAATTTTGAGGTGCTGAAAGGAAAGTTTACTCTCCTTCCCTACGGAATCAATAAGTGGATACTGAGAAACCTGTCTTTTTCAGGTAAAAACTGGCTTTATGTGATAAGTGGGAAGGGAGAGGACAAAAAATATATTTATTTGTTAAGATTTTGTTGGAGGAGATGCCTTAAGGATTTGAAGACTGAAATATATTCCAATAAGGCTTTAAGAAACAGATTTGGACTTTCCTTTTTTTTGATTGATACTACCCCAGGAAGAGAAAGTGAGAACTTTGTCTTGGCTTGGATTGATTGAGGACTTTGGGATTGTTCTATTTTTTTGAAATATTTTGGTTGGTGCAAGAAGAAAGAGGGGAAAAGAAAAAAGAAAAGAAAAGATTTATAATGGCTTTTTTTTGCTGAGGAACTGAGAAAAGAATATGAGCAAACAAAAAAAGATGGCAAAGATGGTGTGAAAGAAGCCTTCCTTTTTTTAGAAATGGCGCTTGCTAACTATCAACAAACACTACAACAGATGGAGGCAGCAGCAGCAGCAGAAGAAGAAGCCATCTTTAATGAATTTCAAAATTTAACTAAGAAAGAAGGAAGAAAGAAAGGAAGGAAAATGAAGGACTTAAGATTTAAAAAAACACTCAAGAAAGAGAAAAATAAGGTGCAAAATCAATATAATGATAGTAAACAAAAGAAAAAAGGAACACAACAGAGAAGGGAAGCCAGTAAGGCAGAGGCTAGGAGAAGGGGGGGTAGAAAGGTCTGGTGGGGGATGAAAGAAAGGGAAAAGGTGGAGAAAAGCCACAAAGTTTTGAAATGAGATGGGAAAAGAGGAATCTTTTTTAGGGACAAAGGGTAAAGTACAATTTCTTTAAAAAAGATTTTGCAAGGTACATAAGATGGTATTGTAGCATTTGTATCAGAAATAGAAAATTAGAATGGTTTAAGAGTTAATAAGAGATTAAAATGTTGAAATGTTTAGTAATGATTGATTTTAAAATTTAATAAAATATTAAAGGGAATGTTTAGAATATTGAGTTTTAATTAAAGAGTTTAATATGACTATGGTATTGATGTTACTATAAAATTATTATTGTAGCATTTGTCTTTGGAAAAGGCAATGGGAATGTTATAAGATTCAATATTTAGATCCATTATTTAACTATGTATTTAATCATTTTGGATTTATTATTTTTCTTTTATTAAAAAAAAAATTAGTAGATAGAATGTACCAAGCAGAATCAGATTGGGTATTAGGTGTTATTTTAAATGTTAATCTAATTAATTTAGGGGGAAGATAGAAAGGCATCATACTCTGATTAGTGATTTCAGGAGAAACTCTTTTTTTTTATTATAAGGAATGAGACAGAGGGATAATAAAGAATGGACAAAAGATATAAATATAATAACTCAAATTAAGATGGATTAAATAAGACAGAATTAAGAAGAGTGAAATGTGTGGAGAAGCTAATATAGAAGACATAGAATGGTAAATAAAATAGGTAATGACATGTAAGATGAGCATGAATATAATTGAAGTCCATGTAGAAAGAGGTACCTGGGGCCAAGTTACTTTCCTAAAAGATTTTTTATATGTTTGTGTGTTGTGTATTTATGTTTCTGGGAGAAGTAATAAAACCTTGCAGAAATATAGAATGAGAATAATGGTAACCAAGTCAGAAAGAAATAGATGAAATAATAATAGTGAAATTGAATAAGAGTAAAGAGAAGTAAAGAGAAATTGGATAAGAGGTATTTGTATGCTCATATGGAAATGGTTTAAAATAGAATTATATTGTATAAAATAAGGTTTTATTTGACTTGTAAAATTTATAATGGAAAAAGGTTTAAGTATGTAATGGTTAATGATGATTTGTTTGTCTTTAAAATTAATAAAATTTGTTTTTTTAAAAAAAGAATTAATTTGCAAACAGAAGTGAGAGAAAGAATGTTCTAGTTCTTAATACCAGAACCAAACTTTGTATATTCCTGTGTAGAAATTGGATCTGAAAATAGATTTTAGAGCTAAGCTAGTGATACTAGAAATTGCAAGAACTTTAAAGTTACTTATTGGCCTGATGTCAGTTCTTTTGCCTGGAAAGAATACACAAACATACATTTAGCGCTTAGCATTTATAGCTTGAGTTAAGTGCTTGGCTTATTAGCCATTCACTTGTTGCTAGAACACCAAATAATGCACATCCAGTGCTCATGGATTTTTTAAAATCTTATTTCAGCCACTATTTTATTATTATTATTTAAGTTTTATATTAGAACAATTCCATTAACACTGAGCTGCCTTAAGATGGGCAACAAACAAATTTAATAATATAATGTAATAATAAAAACATAAATCACCATATAATATATTTAAAGCATTTTTCTTTTACATTGCAGTGTTGATTTATTTCATGGCATATTAAGAAATCAGGACAATTTTTTATATCGAGCCAATGTATGTAGGTAGCAGTTTGCAGAATAAGAGAATTCTCCATTTGTTATCCAAGTTAAGAAATAAACATTTTGAATATAATATGTGGGATTTGGTCTTTTAGATATGAATTACTAGAAAGTTAACATTAATGAAATCTTATATTAGAATGATATATGTGATTAAAAGTGTTGTTTTTTTGGTTTTCTTCTATAATTTCCTTTTTTAGAAAGTAAATCAAAAGGTCTTCAGTGGGTGATAGATACAACTATTGCATATCCCAAAGCTGAGCCTATAGACATTCAGACATGGATTCTTGGCTACAGGCGGCCAACAATTACTCATGTACATTACAGGTATGAAATGTACTTTCTGTCTTCAATTCATTTTAACAGGCTTGTTAAAATTTCAAATTTTCCTCATGGGACATCTCAGAACATACAATTCTGTAAAAACATAAGCAGCTTTACAGTTAGCATTTTACTTTTCGGGCAGGCAATTTTGCATTTGGAAATGCTGGAAATTATATTTTAAATACTGGTTGCTATAAGTATGCAGCTAGTCAGTTACTGTTCCAAGTCCAGACTTGAGGAAGAAGCCCCTGTGTATATAAACTTATATATGATTAGGCTATGCATATGTAATAGTAAACATATTTAAGATATCTGTGATAAGCTCACAAACACAAAAAGAAAACTTCCTAAGAGTTAAATAAGTATAAAACAAGAATAAAACAAAAGGAGACCCCAAACAGGTTAAAACCCTGCCTGGAACAGCTCTTTCTGCCAAATTTTCTTACATGTTTAGCATTTATCGCAACAGCAACAAAGTTTGTGAGGGTGGTAAATCAAATCTTAACCAAATGAACTGCCAATAATAACTTTCAGCTAAACAACTTGAAATAACATGACAATAATTACTTGTGTAAAAAAAGAAAAAAATACTATTTGTGTTTCTAGGTGTATCTCTTTTTCAGCTTTGTCTCATCTAATTTAAAAATATAGGGAGAATATCAAAGAGTGAATTTCTTTATTTTCTTTAAATTTCTTTTCAATGCTGCCAGCTTCTGCAACTTACAAAACAGTAATTTAAAAATAGGCTAGTTAGCACTTAACCTTAAATAATAGTTGTCTTCTTCCTGATGTCTTGTAAAATACAGGATTGCATGTTCCATCACCCTTCTGCCAACATTTGTAAAGGTTGTTGTGAAATCAAGCGCAGGGCCCAAAGGAAATAATCAGGGTGTACTGCAGTGTTTTATTAAACAGCACATACTAGTGGATCTTAAAAAGCTGGGAGAGATTAATGCATAAATAATATTATCTAGGCATTTAAGGAATGCCTTGTTTCCCCCCACTCCCTTTTTCTGGCAGCTAAAAAGACCAAAAGGAATATCTTTTGACATTCAACTCCCCTCACTTCCTGAAGGTAACCCGTACAACAGAAAAAGAAAACAAATTTATTACAGATATAGAACTTAGGGTTGCGAAACCCTCCCCCAGGTTTGGTTGGGTTTTCTGCATGGAGCCTCATCACAAGGCGATCAGCTTGGACGTTCCTACTCTTTCCCCAAGATGCCTCTGATAAAGGGTAGCCCTTCCACTTGATTAAATATTGGAGTTGTCTCCTATACCACCTTGAATCGAGGATTTGCTGCACCTCAAAATGGGTTTGGCCCCCTATGACCATGGGGTCTGGGGGTTCATGAGGTGGTGGCCTCAGGGCCGATCCCCCATGGGTTTTAATACTGGGTATATTTTCCCTAACAGTCGGGGCAACTCCAGTTGCACTGTGACTGGGTTGATGACCTTTACTATGGGAAAAGGTCCCATGAACTTTGGCCCCAACTCCTTACTAGGGAGTCTTAACCTCAAGTACTTGGTGGATAGGTAGACCTTCTCTCCCACCTAGAATGGCCTTTGCGGGACGCGGTGTTTGCCTGTTTTTTATAGCTCTGTGCCTCTTTTGCCAGCGCCTCTTTTACATTCTCCCAAGTTGCTTTCAGCATTGACATCCAATTGGTCAGCTGACTGAGGAGGGGGGAATCCCTTGGATGCTCAGGCATTGGGATGAAGTCTATGCCGCTCAATACTTTGAAGGGGGTTAGTCCTGTGCTACTGTGAACAGCATTATTGTACGCGACCTCCACAAAAGGCAGATGATAATTCATGCTGATAATTAATGTAGCATCTCAAGATACTGCTCTACCATGGCGTTCAATCTCTCTGCTCCCCCCCCTCCCCCCACTTGGTGCTTGGATGAAAAGCCAAGCTAAAACCCTGGGACGACCCAATAGTCTGCAGGAACTCCCTCCAAAATTTAGCTGTGAACTGGACTCCTCAGTCTGAGATAATTCTTCATGGCACTCCATGCAGGTGGTAGATATGTTTCAAAAACAGCTTGGCTAACTGGTGGGCTGAGGGTAGCCCGTTGCACGGTATGAAATGCGCCTGTTTGGAAAATAATTCTATTACAGTCCAGATCACTGTGTTTCCTCCACTTTTCGGTAACCTTACTATGAAATCCATTGCGATCTCCTCCCATGGCCTTGTTGGTTTGGTGGCCTCTGGTCTGGTCCCCAGTGGCTTCCTCCTATCACTAGCGCATAATGCCCCTTCGACTTTTATGGCTACTTGAAGAGTCTCTTCGGGATGTCACGATAGGCAGTTACTTTGCTAATTTGTGGTCCAAGCTGGTTCTGAAAAAATGAACCGGCATCAGTTCAGGCAAAAGGGGTAGCTTCCCACTGATTCTCCTGAATTCACGGATGTGTTCTTAATGTCAACTAAAAAGATACTCCTCTTGGCTTTTTTAGCTGCCAGAAAAAGGGAGTGGGGGAAAACAAGGCATTCCTTAAATGCCTAGATAATCACCCCGGCAACCCAAAGTTGTCGGAACAGAAGAAGGTTATTGGAGAGCATGATGGATGACTCTTGGAGATGGATGTGTCCCTTTGGAGAAGTCACATCCAGGGGGTGGGGGGGGAAGACCAGGGTCAAGGGGGAAATGTATGATGTAATTTAGTATCGGCTAGCTTTCAGGGCTCCAACAAATCCACCCCCGCTCAAATCAAAAGTCTCTAGCCGCATCTCAGAGAAAAGAAAATTGATTTATTAGAAGTAGCCATGTTGGCGTTTAGCTGGGTGCAGCCGATATTAATTACACCATACATTTCCCCCTTGACCCTGGTCTTTCCCCCACCCCCTGGATGTGACTTCTCCAATGGGACACATCCATCTCCAAGAGTCATCCATCATGCTCTCCAATAACCTTCTTATGCTCCGACAACTTTGGGTTGCCGGGGTGATTAGGCATTTAAAGAATGCCTTGTTTTCCCTCACTCCCTTTTTCTAGCAGCTAAAAAGACCAAAAGGAGTATCTTTTTAGTTGACAGGAAGATTTTCTTAGTGCTTGAGGCTTCCATTTCTCTTACTGTTCTTTTCCCATGCATACAGAAGGGTTCTGCTATCATTTAGTTTCAATTTTGCTTTTATGGTATGGTCAAGGATTCTTACAAAGTCAGCTAACCCTATTTTAGAACACCATTTCAAGCAAGTATGTTTCAACAGTGGGCAGATGTGATAAACAATAGTAAGAAATAAGCTAGGATTCTATAAAATGAAATTAAGTGGTAGAAAAAGCCATTCTCCCCCCCCCCCCCATAAGAGTGGAGGAGAAAGAGCAGGTCCAAAGCTTTTGTGCAGATTTATTTCAGGAAGTTTATGTAATGCTAAAGCATGGTATAATATATCGTAACGTGGATATGTGTCTGTTATTTGTGAAAAGTCTTGCTGAATACTTAAAAAATTCTACATCAGGGGTGTCAAACTGGTTTTCTTCGGGTGCCGGATCAGCATTGTAGTTCTCTGCGGGCCGGCCAGGGGGGAAGATGTGAAGGGACACTTCCTATAGTACCCTACTGGCCAAAATGGGGCACCGGGGGGGGCTCTGCGTGGCTCCCTGTACCCCATTTTCGGCCTGGATAGTTTCCTGCAGCACTTTGCCAGACAAAATGGGGTGCGGGTGTGTGTGTATGGCCCCTCGCACCCTGTTTTGGCTGCCAGAGGCACTGCGGGTCGGTCTTTTGCTATTTCCAGACCGGCCCATGGGCCAGATTTAATCACCCCACAGGCCAATCTGGCCATGTTCAACACCCCTGTTTTACATGATGAAAAACAGAAGATGTCCCTGTCATTAAAAATGGGAAAAATAAGATATTACATCTTTGACATTTTTAAAAAGCAGATTATAAACTGTTAAATAAGAAAACACCTCCAAACAATACTGTGATTAATTGAAGTCAACCTTGATTGATCAAGAATTAAGTCTTATCAGAATATATATTCTGATCAGGCTTTCTTTTGTTAGTGCTATAGACATCAGTAAAGCATTTAACTTAATAATTATATATTATAATAAAGGTTGTGTGTGTGTGTGTGTGTGTTTGTGTATCCATCTTGCCTTTATAGTTTCCATGATATCCTGATTAGCAAGCTGATTGAGTGTAAGGTCGTAGTACATAGATTAAACTGACTTGAACATTTAGCCAGTGCTCATTACCACGTTCTTTGTCAAATTGTACATCTCACCAACTGCCTTCTCTAAATTGAATTTTCCTGTCCAATGAAAAGTGGGAGAGAAAGCCTGCTGAGACTCCCATCAACAAGGAGATGCATTTTTCAGGGATTTTATTGACCTCTTAGAAATAGACCCCCTCCTTTGGGGCAATTTTTCCCTGGATATCCAGCTATCACCTCACTCCCCTCAATATACACTGTTTTCAGAGACCTGTAAAATCATGGTTCTTCAGATAAGATGAATAAGGTTATGTAACCCAAATGGTGGTGTACTGTTTTGATTGATTTTTATTCTTTATTTTCATATAGTCATTCTTTAAGCTGCTTGAGTCTCTGGAAATAAATTGGGGTAAATACAGTTTACAGCATACAGTTTTGGTCATGTACAATTTAACACATTCCTTAATAGTTTGAACTGGGTGGCATAACTTTAGTGATCTAGAAGATTGCAACAGCATTCAAAATTACGTTGGTTAGCTAAGGAAAGAGATGTGGACTGAGAGGTGTGAAATTTAATAGAAATAAATTCAAAATTCTTAAAAAAATAAATCAAATGGAAAAATATCAAATATTTCACTGGCTTAGTAACAATATATGTAAAAAGGATCTTGAAATTGTAGTTAATCATAACTTATCATGACTGTGTAGTACTAGCCATTAGAAAATAAATAAATGGAGCTTACAGGATTTAAAATATAGTTGTTAGGTATATTGTATTTTATTATATATGGTCCCAGTGTGACACCTGTAGATAACACTGAAGTGAACCCTTAGTTGTCTCCTGGCTCCATGTTTGTAGAGGAGTGCAGAGATAGTTTTGTCAAGGTTGTGCAAGAGCTATTAGGAGAGCCATTAAGAATCAGTAAACTAGTGGGAAAGGAGGAAGTATGAGAAAGAGACTTAAAATAATTCCACTTTGATTCTTTTTTTGTGTAAAGGGAAGCATCTGCACGTTTTCAAGATTTGGTTGTTACATCCTACAACAGAGGTTTCCAAGGTTTCTCAGTTCACAGTGCCCTTAAAGGTTCCTAAACCATGTGCTGCAGTGTCCCTGGCATAGCAGCAAACTCAAAGTTATCTTTATTAAGTAGCAAAATATGATTCTGTATTACAAGTAAACACACAACCCTGTTATTTGCTCAGTGAACAAAACACTCTATATATATTAGTCAAGTCCCAATTCTGTGATTCTGTGTTAAAATTTTCTAACATGAGAATTCTTTTATTGAGATTTAATAGATGAATGGTACCTTCAAATCTATTATTCCAACTGCCTCCCAAAATAGGATACATCTGGAATATAACACAGTATGCACTAATATAGTTTATTCTATAATTTGAAAACTTTTCAACATAATCAATTGTATTGTAAGTAGATTAGAAAGGCTTTAGAGATAAAGAATCATACCAACAAAAAGGACAGTACAAACAGATTCTGATTATGAAAGATGTTTCTGAATGCCTAAGTCTTAGATCACCAGTTCATATACTATTAGCAGTAGGATTACATAAGAGAAGCCCAGAGGCACTTGCGTTAGAGAGCTTACTAACAAAAGCAGCTACTTCATGACTTTTCAGTATCTTCCTGGCAAGAATTATGAGAATCAGAAATTGGCAGTGACATGAGTAAAACAGATATGCAGTGGTTCAAATGAACAAGAAACATTTCATTCAGTGAATTAGCTTTCTTATACTAGGGTAATAAAGCTGTTTCTCTGAGGACTATGCTATTATAGTAACATCTAAAAAAACTTTGGATTTTTATTGCATGGAAGGTTTTTTTTTCACTCTTAGGTATTTTACTAGGCAATAAAGAGGAAATCATTGCTTTGTAGATTGAGGGAGAAAGTTTAATACACTGATGACAGAAGGAAGGAATATGTTTTATTTGTTTGGAATCAAAATGCAGGATCCAAAACAAATAATCAAGGCTTATTGAAGTGCCTATTAAACAACACATGCTGGTGGGATTCCTTCCAAAGAATATGAGAGAGACCACCACCTGATAAAGGGTCTGCCTGCTTGTCAGAAAGACAGGGGAGACTAATGCATAAGCAGCAGATGATGTAAGCATACATATTCATAGATAAAGGATCTCAAATTACTATAGATAATGAATCTCAGTTACTTCCCAGCCTGCTTACCTTCAGGAAACCAAAATGGAGGAATAAAGCAATACTGTAAAACAAAAGGAGATAGGAATAAAGCAATAAAAACAAGAGGAAAGCATCTACCATAAATCAAGAGGAGAGGTCAGTTTGGGAATGCCAGATGCCAAAAGGAAATCATCTATGAGAATTGTTCTAAAAAGATAACGTTGTGTTCAAAAGATTCCTTATATCTTTGTATGTTAATTTAGTTGATTCCATTTATCTAAATATTGAATTTCCTAAACTTGCTCTTGTTTTTGAGGACTTGTTATTTCTTTTTTAGCATTAATCCTGCATTTCTGGTACTGGGCCTGTTGCAACAGTACCCCAGTGATGAAGGAAGTAGAACAGTACCCCTGAGATAGGAAGTAGAAAGTAAGCATGTACAAGCCATAAGACTGTATAATGCATGTAAGAACCCAGATTTGCAGAGCCAGATGCTGTCAACAAAACTAAACAAAATTAAGAATAAGAGATGTATATCAGGGATGTCAAACTCGATTTCATTGAGGGCCACACATCAGGATTGTGTTTGACCTCGGGGCGGGCTGGGGCAGCTCGATGTCACTTGTGTTGAGGGCACCTGTGGTGGCCTGAATGTTCTGCCAGTGAAAATGGAGCTTGGGAGGCCATGCGCAAACTTCCTGAACTCCATTTTCACTGGCAGAGGCACCATGGGTTGGTCATTTGCTGTTTCCAGGGCGGCCCCGCGAGCCAGATCTAAGCAGCCCATGGGCTGGCCTTGAGTTTGACACCCCTGTTGTATATAATACTGGAATTAGATTGGCTCAGATTTTGAGTTTAAATAAAATTAAGTAGCTATTCCATCATATCCTTGTCAAGAAAAGTAAAAGAAAAATGTTTCACCATGACTTGAAACACAGAAGATTACAAGTAGCAAATGGCATAATTTTTTCATGTTTCACCATGACTTGAAACATACTAATTGTACAATGGAAGCCATACATGGAAGCATTAGGTAGAAATAGTATTGCATATGTTAATTTTTCTTTTATAGTACTTGTCTTCATAGACCGAGGCAAATAGAAAATAAAATCAGAGCTTGAATAATTTCGGAGATGATCAATTTTGATAATCCAGGAAGGAAGGACTCACTGGAGAAGAGCATAATGCTGGGAAAGATTGAGGGCAATAGAAGAAGGGGATGACAGAATGAGGCGGCTGGATAGAGTCACTGAAGCAGTAGGCATGAGCTTAAATGAACTCCAGAAGATGTTGGAGGACAGGAAGGCCTGGAGGAACGTTGTCCATGGAGTCGTGATGAGTCAGACATCTCATCGCATTCGCAACTAACAACAACAATATGTGAATATTTAATTGCTGATTCTCTTTTTCAGAATCCAGACCAGAGATTTAAATGACATTTTTTTGTTTACAAAATGTAGAGGTCTCTGAAAAAATAAAATGCAGCTTTTAGTGAAATATAGGCCAGATGCTAGAGTTTGAATTGAAAGCCAGAATTAATGACTATTTTTCTTAACCTAAAATTGAAGTCATTTGATAATTCAACTTCCCCAATAATTTTAAAAATGTTTCCCTTGAATAATACTAATAAATATTACAGATTGTTGTTAAGAAATAAGCTGTGTAAATATTGGAACATGTACTAAATCCTGATGGAGTTCAAAGCAAAAGTGAAATTCATCTTAGAAAATAAAAAATTTTCATATATCTAATTCACTTTTCTGGGTTTTTTTTAAATGCAGAATTTTTCCAATTAAGGATGTACCCAACGATCCTGAAGCACTCACTGTTTGGTTATATCAACGGTTCATTGAAAAGGAGGGTCTTTTGTCACATTTTTACAAGACAGGTACTATGTAAGAATTGTCTGTGTAACACCAACAACTATTTCTTAATCCATGTAGGTGTTGCTGTCCTGATATACAACTCCTATTTATATTCTCATTTTGTTGGTCCACCACGCAATGGATTTGTGTTTGGGTTAGTCTTCTTTCTTGAGATAATATATATCTGTAACATAGAGATTAAAGCTTTTGTATAATAAATTTGTTAAGTTTTGATGTCCATTAGACTTTTGTTGACAATGCCTAATATATGAAACAAAGAAGAAATCTATAGTAGAAACCACGAGTTATTTCATAGCTTGTAGATTTATTTAAAAACATTCTGTTGGCTAGAAAAATAAGAGTTATTGAGAATTGTCCTATGGCTCTCTTGCTGTCATAAACTTTTAAAGTTTCGTTAAGAGACAATGACACTTGGTGAATGAGTTATTGAACAATGTTATTATTCAAATAAATGCATATATAGTACATTAATCTTACATTTAAATAATAGTCCACGCTGTTTCATTGCAGAAATGTCATCTTTGCTTCTTTAATTTTAGAAAAATTCAAAGAGAATCTTTTAAACTGTATAATAGCTAAAGCCCTTCCAGTTAGATTTGAGGCAGTATCTTGCTTTGTGAGCAAAATGATCTATTGAAGTTACTCTGATTCCTTTGTCTGTGTGGGTTCTTTGAAAAGGAAACCCTATCTCAAGGTCAAGGAATTCAGCTCTGATGCTAATCAGAGTTGAAGCCAAACCCCAATGCTTACCCAAACAGAAATTAAACAAAGATACATTCATTTTCTATTGCTTGACTAGGATTTGATAAGAAATCAAAATGTTGATAAAACTAATTAGACTTAGTGGAATAAGCATTACTAAGATATATGAACAATAATTACTCCAGATAGGAAAATGTTTGCAAATAGGAAACACAACTGCTTCCTAATGTATTGATGATCATAAAAGAGAGCCAGGGTTATATCTGGTGTGCCCTGAGTTCTTGTCAATTCCATGATATAGAGAAAAAATCCAGAAAGATAAATTGAATTTGTCACAAAGTGGGTTTTTTTGTTTTTTTTTTCTGTTTCAGGAACATTCCCTCCTCTGCAAGGACAGACCGAAGTTGTTTCTCGAGAGATGACTCTTAGCAATTTGTGGCTAGTTCTTGTACAGTTATTTGCATTTTTGTCAGGTGGTATGTGGTACTGCATTCTTCAGTATTTTTATGAATGCCTTTTTTAAAAGGTGAATGAATGGGACCTAAGGACACAATGAGGAACTTGGGTACTTTACAGAATGCATCATGTTATGTGTTCAAATATGAATATGCCAGTAGAAAGGAGCATACTGGATGGACTTTCTCTCCTTTTGGGGGAGGATTTTAAACTCCACTAGAAGAAAGGATCAACAATATAGTGACCGAATGATATATTTTAAGAATTATCCATATTTTTAAAAGGGGTGACTTCAGCATACCGATGTCAGCAAATTCAGCATTTTAACAGGAAATGCAGTTATGCAGCCATCAGAGGTGAATATCTGTAACAGAGAATGCTTTTTATCACCGGTAGTATTCAGCACTGTAGTTAAAACTCCAAATCTTCAGCAACTCTTTCTTCAGTAGTCTGTACTGCAAGTCTTGTGGTAGAGATCCTTCATCTGCACAACTCAAATTGTATTGTAATTAATTATGCTGGATCTGTTTAACATAATTCACAGCCCTGGCTATGGTATTGTGACTGCCCCATGATACCTGTTTAGTAGCTTTTTTCCTTAAAAAAAATCTTTTGAATACTATCTAACTGAGAGATCGTGTATTGTATAACACAAGAAAAGGAAAAGTATGCTACGAGTTGTGGTGTCACGAAGTGTTGAAAAAATTGTGCATACCTCATAGACCAATTTATTTTTACCATGTTTTTGTCATTTGAACCTCTTGTGAATATCCTCTTGAAAGGGTGCTTCAGAAATGGAATGTCATTGATCTGTTTCCTGTTGTTATTATGTCTTTTTTGTCTTTTTCTTTCTTTTCTTTCTTTCTCAAAATGCACTTTTAAAAAGTGATAAGGAGCATAGCTAGAAAGAAATGTAGATGCTGTTTCTAAGAGCTAGTATTTTGGAGAGCTATTAGCAGTTCAGAAAGGACTGGATTTTCAGCATTGAAGTACATGAGTTGCCATAGATTTGGCAAAATGATTTTTTTTTGTAATTTTTAATTTTCAGAGAGGCCTTTATTTTCATCTGAGAAAAAGAAGCACTGGAAATGTGTGTGGGACAGTTTGTGTATATACATGCCAAGCACCTACCTAGATGCTTTGCTTATAGGAAGAATAAGAGGAAGTTAGCTTAATCACCAAACAGAATACCTGAATACTGAACAAAACAAAAAAAGGAAGATAATCTGCTTTAGAATCCAGAGCTGTTGTAAAATTCTCTGAACTGTAAAGGGCATTACTAAATTTGTCATTTTGTTGAAATATGTCACTGTCATAGGGAGTTTAACTGAAGAGGCAGTTTGGCACTATAACAGGGTTTCAGGTGATCGCATTACAGTTTTATAATAATTTTGAAGAATTCTGTGTTATTATCATTCTTCGAATGCTTGACATCAATACTGTGTGACTGCATCATTATAATACAAAACCATTCCTAGAAACCAGTTTCTAATTTACACGTTCAGGCCTGTACACTAATTACCAAATGTTGTCTTTTCTGGACTGTAACTTTTTTTCTAAGAGCAAAGTCAAACCAACAACAGTTGTCTGTGCTGAGTTTGAGATATATATTCTTCTGTTTTTGTTCTGTTTTTGTTTTCCCAAATTTCATGAGAACCAGCTTTGGTGAGTAGTATATAAAATAAAAATATAAAACCACATTATATTTATCTTTTGTTTTGAATGGGGTAGAAGTACAACCAGAAAAGCAAATTTTATATTATTTATATAAATGCCATAACATGCACATAATAGTAATTTTAAACTAAAATACATTTCATTATGTATTATGGCAGCATCCATAGTTCACTCTAATGTATATTTTCAACATCATAATTAGATGAAGTAGACCATTAGTGTGTCATTCAAATGTATTAAAGGTACACTTTAACTAATTTTTGAGACATGATCAATTGATTACTAATGTAAGAAAAAGAAAGCCATTAAATTAATTCTTATGAAGTGCAGCTTTTTGAGATAAGAGTACTTTTAATTGCACTTACCTTTTTGTCCTGGTTCTAAAGTGAACAGAGGGTTTCATTTTCCTTAAAAAAAAAAAAGTTATAGGTACAGGTTCTTTCTACTATTCGCTATTCATTAGATGGATATGGCTATAATTCAAAAGACTCATTTGTTGATATAGATACAAACTAATAGTAGTTTAGATGTACATTGTCTGGAGATACATTAGATTAACTTGCTTCTAAAATAATCTGGGTTTAAACGAAATAAGTAGACACTCAAGTTCACTGTTGTTTTTAAACAGTCACCAGGAATACAGTCCTGGTCCATTACAGATATTGCTGATAGAAAAATATTACAAATTCTGAATGGGGGCTTGTTAAAACAGAAATGGGTATCACTAGTGTAATGTAGGTTAACCACTAATTTTAGTTTATTGTCTTTACGATGATAATGATGATATGTCCATTCAGTTGTGTCTGACTTGATTATCCTGTGGGCCAGGTCTCTCCACATCTTCCGATCTTGCACTACTTCTTTAATGTGATTCAGCATTTATAAAGCACTGGTGGCTCTTTCATTATGGATAATGTTTGTGATTTTGGTAAAATGGTATTATGTTATGTCCTATTAATTTCAAGAGACACTTCCAACTGAGGTGTTTCGGTATAAACTGCATTGGACTTTTTATTCTACAGTATTTGCAGTGGAAAATACAAAGAAAGATTATTGTGCCTTCTTCATGGCTGAATCAGGAGAAACTGGAGACAGCTGTTTCAGGAACTCCTCAATAAAAGTATTTCTCTACCCAGAATATAATATGGTTAAATTGTTTATTCTGCAATAACCCATTGGAGTTCAACAGGACCAAATGATCCAATTTAAGAATGCAAAAAGTGTGTAGGAAGGAATATATACATGGCTGTGTATGCAATTTTATACTTGGTAACTAAGTACAGCTCATATCTGATCTTTTACCTTATCCGTGCTTGCTTGGGTCACCTGCTGTTCTTGAAATTTTGTGTTGAAATTATATACTTATAACATTTGTTAATTTCAGATCATAGGAGTAGCACAATATTATTTTTAGGCCAGAAGTGATGAGTTTGACAGTAATAACGCTGACTCCATAGAAAGCAATACAATGTGTATATATATATATTTCAGAACTCTTTGTGCTTGGTGTTTCAGGTAATCGCTTGGCATGCCCTATGAATTTTCAGGGTCAGAATGCTGCATTATCTCCTTTTATACAACTACAAATTGAAATGCCTTTCATGATCTGCATTAGAGGGAAGGGAAAGGGAAATAATAGGGCCGTGCTGGAATGCCAGATGTAGCCCTCATCAGCAAACCCCCAACACGGCTGCTTTAGAGAGCTACAGAAAAGTAGTATAGTACTACATTCCTGCTTCTATGGTCTGTGAAGCTGCTTTGTGGAATCTAGGGCTAGCTTCAAATGCTTGTATTCTGAGGGATCAAAACTACCTACTATTACTACTTTAATTAGAACCAGCAATTGTTTAATTGGTTTGTATACATTCTTAATAGTTGGAGATGCCTTTTTAAAAAATTAGGACTTAAACTTTGTGGAACAAAAATAGGTCTCATTTTGTCTTCATCTTGTGATGAAAATCTTAAATACTGAATATCTTGTTCCAAATTCAGAATACCAGAATGGCCTTCACATTTTACACAGTCTGCTTTGCTGCAGTCTGATATATTGGCTTTTTGAATCTTTAGTCTTTTGTCTGCCAATTGGTTGACATCCATGATTCATCTAATATCTTCAGGAAATTATAATCAAGTAGGTCTCTGATTTCTCTCTGACGTTTCTGGCACTGAAAAGACACTAGTTTGATATGTGTATGTGTGTGTGTATATATATATATATATATAGACTCTAGAACAATCTCAGCCTTGGCAATTTAAGAAGGATGGACATTATTAACTCCCAGAATTCTTCAGTCAGGCTGGCTGTGAAATTCTGGGAGTTGAAGTCCACCTATCTTAAAGTTGCCAAAGTTGAGAAACAATGGTCTCAGAAGAAAGATGCTACTTGAATATTTTTTTAAATTTAGAAACACATACTGTATTTGATCCCACAATAATATACTATATATGTCCTACTCCTATATTCATTGATACAGTTTTATTAAATGCAAGATTAATGTTCAAATGGTAGGGCCTGTATAAGTAGGCATGACTGCATTCCAGGACATAATTCTTTGAGAGAAAGGCTCCTGTCCTGGGAAACCAAATACCACAAAGACATTAACATACACTTACCACATATGTCCCAATAAATAATAAACAATGTGTACCAAAGCACCCTTTTGTATGTCTTCACACTCAGGATTTGGTGACGTTAGAAAATCATCATGCCTTCATTAACAAGTAACAATTGATATGACCTAACAGTTATTACTGCACATGTCATATAAGTAACACTCTAATAATAAACCTATGTCAGGACTCTTTGCTCCCTAAGGCTTAGGGTCCAGCAACTCACGATATTCAATAAGATGACTGGATCTTCACCAGTTGTTTTTAGTAAAATCTTTGGGTATGTTTTCTATGAACAACTTTCATTGATAGGAATATAGTAAGAAGCAATTGGAATGTGAAAGAAGTGGTATTTGGCGTATCTAGTCTTGCAAATGTCTTCTATTATAAAACAGGCCTTTTTCTTGTTATGAGCAATAGAAATTGTAAAGGTGAACCAAACATACTACAATGGGAGATGTTTTTCCATGTCCATGAGTAGTTCATTGTTTGGAAAGCACAGGCCAAGCTTCCCTGTGAAAGAAATTGTGCAAGTTTTCAATCATTTTTTTCCAACTCAGATTTCATCCAGATTATAGAGATAGGATTTTGTCTGAGAATAAAGATCTGACTTGCCTCTCTACCAGCTAGTGAGTAGGAACAGCTGTTATCACATAGTCTTGGACTGGGAGGTTTGCCAGATGTTAAGTAATGACTACTTTTAGCAGTCCTAGCAAGCACTGAAGAATACGGATAGATGTAGCCCAACAGCAACCAGGGCAGTGAGTTCTCGGCTCAGCATTTTCTATATAGTACAGTAATGGAAACAAAACTTAGTGTCCTAGATTTTTTTCTTCTGTTTTCTTTTATTCTTTTGATTTTTAAAGTATAGCTGGTTAGTTGCCACAAGATGCTTGGGAGTGTGTGGGCAGTGCTGCCGAATCTCAGAAATAACATAGTGTCCAAATAAGATTTTTAATGTTTAAAGTGAGACTTTAATGCTCTGCTTAAATTTCCCCCTTTTCAATAACTATCAGGTCACAAGCTTTCACTGATTACTTACTCACAAAATAATAAATAAATGAGCCTTAGTAAAAAGATGTTGAGACTCTAGAAAAAATGCAGAGAACAACCAGGAGACTGGATTAGGGGGACTGGAGACTAAAACATGTGAAGAAAAGTTACAGGAACTGGACATGGCTAGTCAAGTGAAGAGAAGGGCTAGGAGTGACATGACAGCAGTGTTCCAATATTTTTTGTCTGCAATGACATTTATTTCAAATCAAAGAATTACAGTGGTGCCATTCAGTATACCTGGGCTTAAAAATGAAGTTGTACTACAACATGAATCAGTTGTTTTATTTCTCAAAGTGAAGTCCTTAGGAAAATCAACTAACACGTATCTTTGGAATAATTGTGCTCCCAACTCCACTGTGATACAACTTGGAAGACAGGAATATTTCAATCATGTTAATTTCAGTCCCCCCCCCCCCCCGAGAATCTACAACTGCGTTTGTACACTCCCTTTGTATCTCAGGAATAGCATGCCACCATCTGGACTAAATACTAAGTCACTGAGTTTCCTTTGGAGCTTCTGTTTCAGAGTTTCCACTTCCTGTTCATTAGTTTTTGCAGACTCCGGGTCACCTGAGGTATTCTTGAGTGCAGGAACAAAAGATCCCACAAGCCAGGATAATGGAGTGTTCTGGTGCACATAGTCCAAGATATCGTCTACGTAGGTCTGGGCCATGCCGGCTGTCTTCTTGCTTTGGATCATAAAGGCTGCTAGAAAGATCTTTGAAAGATTGAGCCCCGGGAAAGGTAGCTTGAAGTTCCTCAATGCTACGGAGAGCCAACTCAATATTCTACTGAAAGATACCAGGCAGACCTTGGATGCTTCCCATCAAGTTGGTGTATGCAATCTGCAGTTGTTCAGTGATGTGATAACTCACGGCCAAGCTATGACATTCCATCTGCTGAAGCTTTTCCTTTTCTTCCTGGGGTATCTGAAGGATATCTTGCATGGTATGTTCTATCTGTCCATGTGGCAACAGTTGTGAAAAATGGTCATAAATCACTTTTTTCAGCACCATTATAACTTTGGTCATTAAATGAGTGGCAAGTGGAGGATTACCTGTAATAGGGCTGGAAAGAAGGTAAGCAAGACTTATTGGTAGATTTCAATGGGATTCCTGATTCTGGCATACGGTAACAAGAATTGTATTTTGTGTGGGTAAGACCAAGCTGTCCCACCATAAAAGACAATGAAGCAGGTTATTTTGAGGAGGGTATCTCAGCAATAACTTTTTGTGTTAAGAACAGAATCCTATGAGACACACAGTCTACCCTGAAGGCCTCAGCTAAGCTACCTCAGATGCAAAAGAGAATGCCATGGAGCCACCAGTGCTGGGAGTAAAATGCAGCTATCCAGTCAATT